GGAACATACAGTAAATGTTTTTTATATTTTAATGTCTGGGGCTAAATATTCAAATAACCCACAAACTGTCAAAAGTATAAATGTGTCAAAATCTTAACACTAAATGTGTCATGTATGGTAATTAACCACTTCACTGCCTTTTGGCTGAGATCAAATTTAGTGTCCTCATCAGTTTAGTGTCTGCTATATTTGTATTGATATTAACGACTAACTAGATAAACAAATAGTTCTCTTTAGTCTTTTGATTTCTTTGATTTCATACTGACATACCAGGTCAATCTACCTATTCCTAGAACTAGACAGCTGTAGCCAGCCACTGAAATATATATTATGCAAAAAGGTTATCTTTTACATTTTGCTTTAATGATTTTTTTCTCTGAGGTGTGACAAATTTATCTTGAGCAAAGTTATGGCTAACAAATTATTCAGGATATTTTAACAGAGCCATATGTGGTAAAAAATTCATTAAAATTTCACCTCGCATGAAGAATGTATTTTATATAATTATTTATTTAATTTTGTCTCAGCAATTATGCAGTCCATAAATGAGGCACCAAAACTCTGTGGAGTTTGATAGGTGTGGGTGTTTTATTTTTAACAGAGCCCTACTATGTTATAAGAAATGTCTCTTTGTGGCATAGGTGTAATCTCCACGTGGCAGATAGCATCTGTTTTAGTAGGGATGAGTTGGATCACACTTTCTAGCACTGATGTATATTCTGTATTTTTTTATTAGAAAATATTTGCTGCTCTGCAGCTTGTCATGAGGGAAATGTTCACAGTTTTTCCTTTAAATCTAGCAGGAAGAATGTTATTGCTCTGAATTTGCCACTACAGTTTTGTACTATGTTGAAGCTAGCACAGGGTTCTCAAACTGATCTGTCGATTAGGGATGTAAAATCCCAATTAATCAGTTACCTAGTCACATTCCTACCGGGAATTCCTTTTGGCTGGCATGTCATGCTAGTGATGCATCTGTCAGTCTCCAGTCTGTGACGTCCCCAGTCATTTGTAGTCCAGTCCAGGACTTTATTTTTAAATGGAATAAATGAAGTACACTCTGTTCCCTTTCTACATGACTGCATCAGGATGCTCTCTGTCTAGTGTTGCTCTGGGTTCAAACATAGAGCACGCACAGGCAGATATGACCAAGCTGCAATCACCTGCAGAGATGAAAGTAGGTGCTGAAAGGCACCAAGGAGAGATTTGGTACTAATATCTCAAGTGTGGGATTAATATTCAGTTTTGATGTAACTGCTTCCACTGACTTGAGTGGGAACAGAGTTAAACCAATCCTGATACTCCCAGCTGTGAACTCCTTCCAGTCATCCAGAGATAGGAAGTAAATAGCACATGGAGGGAAATGTGGGAATGTACCAAACTGATTTTCATTCTGTCTCCTTAATACTGTTCTGTGATTAGTTTTCCAAGTAACCAAAACATGAATTGAAATTAGGAAATTGGAGGGGGGAAGTGTCCAGGAAAGAGTTTGTCTGTGTTTTAAGAAGTGATCCCTAGCATGTACAGAGTTTGAGAACCACTAAACTAGCCCATAAAATACATATAAAACAGGAATGTAAAACTGAGATTATTTATTTTTTCTTTCTTTGAATCTATGCAGAAAAAATATTTTGGATGTTATTTCCATGTATTTCTTGGTTGTCTTGACATTGTGTGTGCACTGTGGTTTCAAGTATTTTTATATTTCTGCTTTGTAAAGGTCCATGTTTTAAGTGCTCTAAGGCCAAAATTGTCAAATTTGGAGACCAAAATTGGGCACATAAATTTAGATACCTATTTATAAGTGGCCTGTTTTTCAGATGTGTGGAGCACTGCAGTTTCTGTTAAAGACACTGGCATTTTTGGCGCTTAGTATTTCTGAAAATTAGACCATTTCTGTGAATTTAAAGTGCTTGTCTTAGAGGCCCCAAATTTGAAAACTTTGGGCTATGCTAAATAAAATAAAATCCTGGTATGCTCCTAGGTGTGTGTGATAACATACAGTAATAAAGTTACAGTAGTAACACCTCTCTCACATACCTTCATCTGTGGTAGGCATACAGATTATTTAACACTACTGATATGCTGTAATACATGAATATGTGCAATGGAGATAAATACTGTCTCTCGAACAGTGTAGTTGGATGAACCTCAAGGCCCAACTGACCATGTCTGGCAGTTTGACTGCAAGTGCTACTGTGTTCTATGAGAGGTTGTATCTTCAGTCATTACGTATTGATTTATTATAAAGAATTAATTTTCTGCTAAGTGTAGCATAGAAGATTTAATGGGGTCCCTTACTACAACATGCGTATATAAATCCTATTAAATATAATTGGAGTCCTAAATCTGTATCAAAGTTAAGGATACATCCCTAAAAATGATTTGCTTTTCAATCCGTTTGTGAGAGAACAGTGAACACCAAATGCTCCATAAAAGGACAGTTTTTCCATGAAGCACTAGAAAGTACATTATAAGAAGAAATTCCGTCCTTTGCCGGTGAATGAACTAGATCATGCAATAAGTCTTTTTCATCTCTGATTCACCCTATCCCTGCAAAGAACATCACTCTTGTTGGCTTTCAAAGGTGAAAAGTCCTTTGCTCTGTGTTCAGGCTCAGATCGTCCTGTCTGAATGCGTCCCTCTCCCCAGTCTCATCCAGAATTGGTGCCCAGGGAAAACAGCTGGATACATAGCACCATCATTGGACTGCACCAAGAGCTATTTGTGGGAAGAGATTCATGTGTATGGCGGGAATGCCAGATGCATACAGTCTCCTCCATTTCTCATCAAATGGCAGGAAATGGGCTCAAAAGTTAATACAACTAAAGGCTGCAAATCTCCCAATAGTGCTGTTCCAGGGATAAAAAAGTATGGGCAGTTTCATTCAGCATCAGAAGCCACGGTGTCTAGGGAGCCCTAAACCTGAAGGTATGGAAAGGTCTTTGCATGGCAAGTCATGACATACAGTCAGCCCCTACTTACCCGGCAGCCAACTGGTTGCCCCAAATTTCCATTTATTCTGCTGGTCAACAAATCCTGCCCCAATCTAGATAATAGTGGAAAAGTGCAAGGTAGCCTTTGTGAAGTTTCACACATTTCCCCCATACACCTCAGTCCCTGCTGCGGTTTTTTAAAAGCAAAGTGGCAGCCCGATCTCAATTGTAACTTTTTGCTCTGTGCTCGCTCAGGCAATCCCCTTGACTAGAGAAAAGGGCCAAATTCAGCCTTCAGATCCTTGCTCACATCTAGCTCCCATTTACTACACACAATGACTACCACTCCTGAATCTAAGGGGAGATTTGAAAAGCCTCTCAAGACCTTTCCTCCAAGTATAAGGTCCAGCATAGCAATAAGGACTGCAGGAAATAATTTAATCTGCACAAGAGCCATTTATTTCACAGCGCAGCATGACCAAGCATTCAGGCATCTGTTCTGTATTTGTTTTGGTTTATTGCTGTGAAATAATTGGGACAGAGGTGAGTGATGGGCCCATAATGAATGAGGACTAATGCATTGATTCAGACAAGCAAAGGCATTAGGCCCACCTTTATATGCGCGTTTGAGTGCAGCAATTGGCTTGTATTTATGACCCAGCAAGTTTGGGCCAGATTCTTTTTTCATTCTCTCTGCTATAAATCTGGAATAATGCCACTGAGCTCTCTCTGCTATAAATCTGGAATAATGCCATTGAGCTCAAACAGACACAAGTGAGAGTAGAATTAGGCCCATTATTTGCTATGATGATACAGTCTAATGACAGAAAACCTTTGCCAGTGCTGTCAGAGCAGACAACAGTTGTGGCAAAATACATTTGCTTCTATCCAAATGACTTGTACTCTTAAGGAGATATAACACTGCCTGCATACTGAGCTCAGACATACCTTTCCACTAACTTTTGTGGAATTATGCTGTATTTACAGCAAGGTTGGAGAGCTCAGAATCTGGCCTTCAGTCCTCTCTAGATTTCAGGGCACTTGAGACAAGAAGCGTAGACAAATTGGGAATTTTGTTAACATAAGTGCCTTTAACTTGATAATGAAAAGTAGTGATGTGTTTAGTCAATTAACCTGCTGGTAATTATAACCAATATTTTTTCCTGTTACATCTTTAGAATTTTGTTTCTTTTTTTCTTTTTTTTAAACAAAAGAATATTGCTAGGTAATTGCATCTTTCTTGGGTACTGTCCAATGTACTTAAATATTGTGCTGATGTGTATGATGACTGCTGTAGAATTAATGGATTAAATTACATTTTTAAAACAAGAGTTTCTTGTGAGTCTTTGAAATGCTGTTTGTTCTGTATCAGTGATATCTTAAGGCTTGTGTTTGCCTGTTTATGCCTCCTTGTGGTCAGGAGAGGGGCTACCCAGTGCCTTTGTTGTGCTGGTCATTGTTTGCTTGGAGGTTTATTTTTTCTAGATTAACCACTCAGAGGTTTGGCATAGCAGTTGTTCTCATTTTGCATTGATTTTCTA